GCGAGGCAGGTAAATGGAGCAGCGCGACCTGTGCCGGCGCGGCGGTGCCCCCCGTCGGTTTTCCTGGGCCTCTTAACGTGTTACATCCCTCGCAAACGCGCGGGTTTTGCAGGGAGCCGCACCAAAGCTGGAAGGAACGACGGGAATACCTGAGTCAGCAGATTTTTCGCAGGAGTCAGACTTCCAAGTTCACATTGTTGCAAGGACAGTGCAGCGTCACTGTGGCGGTGTCCCCACCTCCAGTCAGGCAGTTTTACCGCTGGTACTACCGCACCCGATGTGCTAGCAGAGAAGTTCTGAGCTGCTGGACTGCTGGAGCAGCGCTGTGCCGTGCAGTGGGCAGAGCAGCACAGCCGGAGCGTGACTGCACCTTTCCTGCTAGCCTTCCTCCTTCACTGCTGCTGCATTTTATCTCAACTTTATATTTCCCTGCGTTAGCAGCTTCCCAGTTTCTGTAAGCACGGAATGTGGTTCCATACATAAGTGCCTGTATGTGTCGGGCAGAAGTGGGTGTGTGCTGTGTGTGTTCTGCTCCCACTGAGGTCACTGTCAGTGAGCAGGGAGAGGAACTACAGCAGAATTAGGAAGGGGCTTATGCTGAGGCAGTTTTCAAACACAGCAAGTTTCAGGTTAAAATAAAGATACAGAGACAATTACTAACAGTGGGTTCTGTACTTAGTATTTTAATGATCACATGGAAAGGCCTATTAAGACTAGCTTTTTAAGTTGTTATATATTTTATCGTAATGTGACTTGCAAATTAACATGCAGGTTTTGATACGAATACTGAATTACACATATCCAAGAATCTTGCAGAACATAAAAGTGAGAACTATGTATAAAGCAGTGGAATTAGATTAATCTTGTTCTTGCTATGTAGTTCAAATTCAGTCACAATGAATGTGTGGAATCATTAAATGTATAATGGGTCAGAATATTAAGAAGGCTCTAATTAAGGCAGGCTGAATCTGTCTTGCATGCTCTTACTAGTCAGCTGCTTGAGGAAGAAGAAATGTATGCTACAGATTAAAGGATTAGAAGGATGTGTTGTTCCTATATATGCAGTTTTAATCCAGTGTCACAATAGTCTTATGAACTGATTGGAGATGATAGAATAAAGTAAGCGGTAATCTTGCTAATTTATCTGTAAAAGTTACGAAATAGCTTCCTTAGATCCTTTTCCATGTGTGCATATGGAGAGACTAGGAACCCCTGGGCAAGAGTTGCCTTGTTCTTGGTATCAAGATGCTCCTGCTTGCTGGAAATAAAGCCAGCTTTAAGCCAATGAAGTCATATCGGCGTTATACTGCTGTGACAGAAGGATCTAATCTAAGGACTCTAAGTAAATTAGAGTTGTTAAATACCTTATGTGATGAAAGGAGAAATAAGTAACTTGAACACACTGCTGAAAACTTAATTCTGAAATTTACTTTGGGCTGAGAGTGTAGTTATTTTGAGGACTTAATCTTTTGGTCAAGGAGAATGGGTGCAGTGCAACTTGCAGGCTACTTTGCCATTGGTCGTGACAGCAGACGTTAAGGCCAAAAACAATCATGCTGTGAGAGCTTAGGCATTCGGTCTGTATTTAGGCAAGCAGCCAAGTCCAGGCACCCTCCCCAACACCACAAGCCTGAGAACCCAACATATGCCACTCTTCCATCCACAGAGAGAACAGGAAGAAAAACAGAACTGTGTGTTGTCCATTGAAACTGGTATCTCCTCATGGCATGCCTCCATGTGTCCCACATTGTTAGGGAAAGGGAGACCCTAAGACTCCTTTATTTGAGACTGAGGGATTTGGGTCACAAAACCTGGAGAAAACAAAGTCCATAGGGGCCCTACTGGCTCAAGATGCTCCAGAACCCCAAGTTCAGCTTGAAGGGGGGTCTTCTGTTTTAGCTAAGGTTGCCTATTTTAACTAGTCACATGTAATTTACTACTTCTTCTCTTTTATGTTCAAATGGACTGAACAGTTGAATCCTGCTTTCCTAACCCACATACCTATGGAAAAACTGACTCAAACAAGCCCTCCCAATTTTTATGTTCATTTCAGGTGATTTTGTCCCCTGCTCTCCCTTTCCCTAGCATGCCTATGATCCACAGGAGAGAGAAGTGGTAGTGTCAGGTTCCTTACCTCTTGGGGCTGTCGGAAGGGCACCTGGACTTTGTTTCTCTCAAAATGTGGACATGAAAAATCTCCAGTTTTGACATTTCTGTTGTCCTCGTGTGTGATAAAGTGACCTAGGATGCCCAAGGCTCTCCAAGACTGAGTTGGCATAGATCCTGACAGAGGCATTTCAGATGATCAGAGGGGTTGTGGGGAACGGTCCATTTTCTCTCCCCCCACGTAAGACTAAACAAAATGCCTTTCAAGCCAGCAAAGCAAGAGTGACGCCTTTTTACTGATTCAGCCAAGGACGGACTGGGACAGGCCTCTTGCTCTACCAGGTAAGTCCACAGCAAGAAAACAGCATAAGGGTTATGATAACTGGCAGAAAAATAGACAATAGGTTAAAAACTGCCTCTGACAGGGTATGTACCTGGCCAGTGCGGATTGGCTAATTTGCACAGTGGTACTTTCTCGAACAGTGATCTCTGATCTATAGAAGAGGGCAAGATCTGCAGGCCGCTGCTCTCTGCCTACCCGGGACAAGACCCTGCTGCAGGACCTGAACCTGCCTGGAACACCAGCCCCGCTGTCCGGAGGAGCCGAGAGGAAAGGGGGAGCTGCCCTGCGCCCACTGCCCGAAGAAGCAGAAAGGGCAGGGGGGGGGCCGTCTGTGCCCACTCCCGGGGACCCTGCCTGCCCAGCCTGGACCAAACCAGACCGGAGTAGGAGCCTGCCCCGCCTGCGCCTGCCAGCGCATCCCGGGAACTGCACTACGGGAGGAGGGTAAACGCACACAAACACACACAGACACTCTAACTTTCTTACTGGGCTCAACTCCTACTCTTTCACTCCGTTGATTTTACACCTCTCCTTCGGAGCGTGCCTTTTATAGACCATAGTGCCTTTGAATCCCTTTTCCAATACATACCTAGCCAACCTCTCCTGAACCTTGATCCCTTAGTTTGTGTTGACCCTTAATAAACCGATTAATTCGTAAACTAAACATTGGTCTCAGTAACAATTTGTGAGCACGGTGAGTGGGTACTCTAATCTACCCTCTGAGATACGGTCCCACAATGGCTGTTCCTCTGTGAAAGGTGAACGCCACGTGTGACCCTCGGGCTCATTTACAAACCTCTCCACATTAGGGGGGGGCAGTCGCAGAAACACCTTGACAGCCGGTAGCCCCCCGGTACCGGCCCGCAACAGGGGTGCTGGGAGCTCCTCCCCCTGTTGCAATTTCCTTGGGTTGCCCTCAACTGAGGTGTCCAGAGCCCTGCTGTACTAATGCTTCACTGATCCTCAGTGGATCCAATGATCCAGGAACCCCTATTTGAGATGTCAGAAGCCCAGCTGGACTGTGTCTTGGCTCCTGCAAAACTCAGATGACCCAACTCACCACAAATACCAATCTCAGCCATGCCAAAACTGAGTGCAGATAAAAAATTTCAACGATTGACTTCTAAGAATCAAAAAAGTTTATAATAAATGAGCTAATCCATCCAGGCAAATTCTTAGTTCATTTGTGTTTAACAAAATAATTCCTTGTTCATTATTACATACAATAAAAAACATTAAGCAAGATCAGGTAAATTACTTAACATGATTGTGTGCCCTGAAAATTAGATTATTTTTGGTCTGAAGTGCTATGTTTAGCATTATATTAAGCACAGTGATGAAGAATGAATACTCCCAAGGAATATTGAAACAACTATTGAAGAAATGTGACTGTTTTGATGTTGTCTGCTAAACACAGCAAAACAATCTGATCCAACAGACACCTAGAGATTCTGTATGTAATTTTGAAACTATTGAACACCTCAATGTAAGAATTCAGTTCAGATTCTATAAAACAAAATTTCAGGCTCAGTTATCTCCTTTCTTTTTCTCTAAGTTCACTTTCTCAACCTTCCAGGCCAAGTGAAGATGCTTTACTACTTCAAGGCACAAGAGATTGTTTAACATTGTTAGGAATACGACTGGCATAATAGTCATAATTTCTCAAAGTGGCAAGGACCCCAGCAGAATTCATGTGTTTCACTTCCTTGTTGTACTGAAATGAATTTCCATGGATATCAGTTATTTTGCCTGCAAAAATAAAAGAAAAAAAAAGCTTCCAGGAAACAGGAGTTGGAGAGAGATAACCTATTTTATTAGTGTGATCCAACTAAAAAACCCACAGTCTTTGCGTATACATGCCTGTCTTCAGATGTGAAATGCCTCTGTTCTCAGTTGAAGTCAATAAAAAACTGTTGCACTGAGATCAAATACCTAATGGTTTTATTTTCTTTCAGCAGTATTTAAATTCACTGTGTTTCAGGAAAGGAAAACAACATCTCTGTCTTATGGATTAATTAAACGCTTCATGAGTACTTTTTATGCTGGTCATTGACAAGAAGGAAAGAAAAATCCTCAGTTCAAGTAAAAGCCAGAGAACTCTGTACAACAAGTAGCAGTATAGAAATACTCCAGCTAGTTTTAAATTAGTTTCTAGAAATCACTTAGCAAAAGCAACACAGATCTTTATGCAAGCTAATTTAACAATGAGATACCTACATAACAGGGAGGCTAAATACAGCACTGTGCTGCCCCAGATCGGTATGTTTTTGTGCCTCAGCTAACCTGTTTAAAGTTACCCAGTTACCAGCACTAGAGACTGCAGAGGAATTAAATCATGTCATTGTGAAGCCTGTTACCCTTGCTTGACAGAATTTAGGAGATCAAAACCCACGGTTTTAGCATATAGTGGTAAAAGGTCTATAAATGTGAACATCAGAAAACATATAATAATACTTCAATTCCTGTCAGTGAGACTTCATAACTTCTGTAGTAACTTAGCCCCTAGAAAGGTGAAGTGGCTTATGTTGGCTGGAAGCCACTAATTTTACTGAATTACACTAACTACTCAATTTTGGAGATTGTACATGTGAGGAACAACTGCATGATTTGGTCTATTTTTGTTGTTTTAAAAAATATCCACATATTATATAATGTGTTGCTAATAATAAACTACTATATCCAGTTAGTAGGACAATGTGATTTTACTGTGAAATGGTAGCCAATAGAACAAAAGGAATTTGATTTGAAAATATTAAAAATAATGTAACAAAAACTTTGGAATTTGGCTTCTTGAATTATTTGACGGTTGTTGACTATATTACTCCAGGGCAAAACAGATCATATCATGCTTTCCAGAGCATGCTTTGCTGCCCCTTTAGAGTTACTGTTGATTTCAAAGGGCTCAAAGTTCATCATGACTATTTTAAAATATGTACATTCTGACATTTTTCTTTCCAAAGACATGTTTTGATATTTTTTTTCTATGAAAAGTATAAGTAACTTTAAGCTGATGCAGTTTCACTTATCTTGGAATTTTGCATACTATTATTAACTTACCTCCCACAGCATGTAGAATAGCTTCAGGTGCACATGTATCCCATTTCTTGCAGCCAGGACTGGCAAATACATAAGCAGATGCCTTGCCTTCTATGAGTTGAATGATCTGTTATAAGTAGAGAGTGGCAATCATTGCAAAGGATCTAGGCATTTAGAAACAGGTAAAAAAACACCAGTAAACAAGAATTAGATCTGTTTCTTCTATGCACTTATGGTCAGAAAAGGAACACCAGCCATTTCCTTTACAATATTACAGTAACTTATGTTAAGATTTACAAAGCTATACTGTACAACTATTCTGCATGATCTGTTTTCCATTGTTATAAATACAGCCCACAGAATGCTTTTAGTTTCAGAAACAAGAATTCCCATCTTATGCAAGTACTAAGAAAATAAAGTGGAAGTTATCTCTATGTTGTCTTAGTGCCATTTTGGGCCTTGCAAATGTTGGAGAAAAGAGATTGGAGAGTCTGTTTTTGACAACCATGACAAAACTAAGCATTGAAAACTGCAGCAAATGAGTTTTTCCTGTATGCAGAGAAGGTGTGCAAGGGAAATACTACTGTACACTTCTCCTGTTTTATTCTTTGGCATGTGCTACTAGATAGTTGGAACAAGAACCGTATTAACATGAACAGGAGGAAATATCTAATAATTAGGATTAAACTGTATTCCCATTTAGTAATTCTAGTCTCAAAACTCCTTATTTTCTCCCCTTGTAACAGAATATTGAGGAAGATGGACATCAGCCATGACAAACACAGCCATTGTTACAAATATACTTGTACCAAATTCTGACTCTCTAGCTCATAGCAGCCTGAATGCTAGGAAGAGAAGTTGTGCTGGGGAAGGAGAAGGAAGTCTCCAGTACAGTCATGCAAATCAGCAAATTATTTCTTTGTTCTTATTCTTCTTTTTTTCAAAGGTAATAAGGTTTCTTTGTCCAAATACAACCAAATTATTCTGAGTTTTCATACCTTATTTCCTGCTCCTCCAACTCTGATGACACTGTCTGGGTTCAAGGCACTGATGCAGTCATTTACCAGGGTACTGCTGTGAGAACGAGTGGTGACGATGATGTGTTTCCCAGCAGGTGCTTCTGTGAGCTGAAATCCAAAGGCACCTAAGCCCAGGACTCCCCATATTGTCCTGCCCAACACAGCACCAGCTTCTGCCTACATAAAAGGGAGAGAGATCCAGATGATGGTCAGTCATTGTGATCAGCTGTTAAATCACAAATGGAGAGCAGTACCTAGAGAAGCTTTGCTTTAGGGAGTATCATGTTAATACTGGGTTATCCATTTAAATAGGGGCACTTAAAAAGAACTACTCT